ATGAGCATCTGGTCTCATGCAGAAGACTCACAGTGTGTACTAGTGCTGCATCCCAGGGCCATCCTGGGCACTTGCACGCAGTTCCTTCCATCAGACAGGGCTGCCTGTTGTTGTTTGCAAAGGTTGTTTGTCCTGCAATGTGGAGCTTCTTTTCTCTTTTATTCAGCCCATCTGTTGCTTCTGCCTGGTCCTTTTATGCCAACAGAACAGCATGTGGGAGAGCAGAGTCTTGCTTTAATAAAGTCACTGGACTGGTACATACTTGTGCATGGTGATGATGGGTTATAAAAATCCCATGAATTCTTATCATACTCCATTTTATTCATTTAGTACTGTTTAGGCATTTATGGCCTCATCTTGTTTGAGAATACTAATGTATGAGGGTTTTTTTAGTAAGCAATAAAAATAGATTATGCTGATTTGCACAGTTCATCCACTGCCCAGATTTTCATTTGCCCCATGGGTAAATGCCTTTTAAATGCTAGAGGATTACTTTAACCACTTTTACTGCCACAGCACTATTCTCTGCAAAGGCATAATGCAAGTAACAGCCCTTGCTGCTGCTTGATGTTCCAGAGCTCAGCACCTTGGCTAAACTCACCGTGAACAATCACCATGGTGGGTTATTTTTCCCCATGACTACTCAATACTCACCAAAATACAAATTGGAGGAGGAGAAATTTAGGGTAGATCTTAGGCAGAAGTTTTTCCTGTGAGGGTGGTGAGACCCTGGCCCAGGCTGCCCAGGGAGGCTGTGGCTGCCCCAACCCTGGCAGTGTTCACAGCCAGGTTGGATGAGCCTTGAGCAACCTGCTCTGGTGGGAGGTGTCCCTGCCCAGGGCAGGGGTTGGAACTGGACAGTCTCTGAGGTCCATTCCAACCCCTAAATTCTATAATTCTATAAAGGGGATGGTGGTGAATAGAAATGAAAAAGGAACTTACAAACTTCAGCTCTTAAGGACAGTATAAAACATGATCAAACTTTTGCAAATCCAAAACCCTCCACATATACATTGGAAAACAGGTTTTTAATAGGGTTTTTATGTTTCTTTTTATGTTTTGGTTGATTGGTTGGTTGGATTTTGTACAGATGTTTAGGGCATGCAGAAGGAAGGCACAACCTGCAGTGTAGGTGTGAGTTCCTGTCAGGTCAGGCTTAGCCAGACCTGGAATAGCTTGGGGAAATTCTGTAAGATGACAAAAATGACAACTGTTTTCAAGAGGTTCTGAATAAAAACGATTAGGAAAGAAAAACATGCTTTGATTTATCTTTGTGGTAGCTTCCCCAGAAGTGTTTAAATCCTCCTTAGCAATTATTTGTCTGTTTTGGAAATAATATGGTGAAATTGCTGTTGGTTCTTTTAGATCCGGAGAGAATATCCCACTGTTTGGATGGGGTTTATTGCCTGTATATCACAGGGCCAGAACTTGTGCTATAGAGAAATGAGAGTCCTGTTATCTGCTTCTATTCTACCAAAAAAAGAGCTGAAATGGTTCTCCATAAACATGTGCACTTTACAGTGAAATTTGTTAGGAGAAATAACTCCTGTGCTCCTTTCCTTAGACAGAAGCTTCTGAGCTGGCTTTACTTACAAGTGATTGAGTCATACCGCAAAGCTTATGGTTTATATTTACTCCAAAGCTCCTGTTTGATAAATATTCATCATTTTGATGCCTTTATAATATTGTGCAATTTTTTTGCAAATATAATCTGCAGAAACGTCTCATCTTGTTTTGGATCCTGCTAAGCTCTTTGCTTCTGATGTTTTGTCAGAGTGGATTTCGGAAGCTCTTTTTGCTTGGTGGAGGCCAAAAATCACTTCATTTTCTTGGGTTTGAATTTGTCATATTTGTTTCACTGGGAATTGCAGCACTGGATTTTTTGAAGCTGGATGTACGAAAAAAACACTGTTTGGTCTTCATACAGTGATTTGGGTTTATGTACTTTTATCATGTGTCATCTTAATTATCTCCTCTTCTGTTAATGACATTGGTCTCTTCAGCTTTCAATCTGTGAAGACTTCTGCTGTGTCCTTAATTATGCAAATGGCTATTCCTGCCATTCCCTTTTCTGGGACAGGGTAATCAGATCCAAGAAAGTTTTCTGTGGCATTGCCCCTTCTCACTCATCTTGCTCATCTTAGCATCTTTCTGATGTTTAGTTTTCCTTTGCTTTAGGTCACTGAGCACAGTTTTTCACTCTGCATTCCACAGTGGTGCCTGCACTGGGAAAGCTAATAGGAGTTTGGCAAAATACAAGTGCATTGCAAACATCATTTCAGTACTGGGACTTCCTTCAGGTCATTTTGTAACATGGTGCATCCCACTTGTTCCCAGAACTCCTTCCAAAAGTCAGTGTGCTGCATTTCAGCACTGAATGGATTTCCTTTAGGCTGCTCAGGTGGTCCTGTGTCCTTGTATCCAAACTGAGGAGCAAGAATTTTCCTGTTAGCATGGTCATTGTGCATGGCACAGAGGAGGAACTGGTTAAGGAGAAATTACTAACATGAATGCTGGAGGAAATTCATTGTGCCTCTTTCAGGAACTTTTGCTATACTTACATTTTATAAGGGTGGTGAGACACTGTCCCAGGTTGCCCAGGGAGGCTGTGGCTGCCCCAAGCCTGGCAGTGTTCACAGCCAGGTTGGCTGAGCCTTGAGCAACCTGCTCTGGTGGGAGGTGTCCCTGTCCCAGGGCAGGGGTTGGGGCTGGATGGTCTCTAAGCTCCAATCCAACAACTGAAATCCTGTGATTCTATGATCATGAACCTGATCAAAAGGCAGAATATTAACCTGAGCCTTTGGTTCTCAACCATTGTTTGATAGTGATACTCTTTGAACATTTCCTTGGACCCAAAATGTTGCATGTAGTTTTAGCTTAATGGCACCAGTATTTAGCTGCTAGTGATGTCAGAATTGTACCCAGTGAGGTGGCAGATGCAGATCCTCCTCAATCATCCTTCACATCAGTGTTACACTTGTGCCAAGGTTGCTCTTCCCATCAGCAGGGGAAGGCTCAGGCTCAGGTCTGCCCAAGGGCAAAGTGCCCATGGGTTGTAGCTATGCAAACCAGTAGGTCATTCTGAGAAAAGAAAACAAACAACAAACTTTTTTTTTTAAGTAGGAGCCTGAAATGAGGATTCTTGGCATTTCTGCCAGTGCTGTGAGATCCTGAGGAGTCTCGTAACTTACCCTAAGAATTTTTCATCTCTTTTAAATTGTTGTATTAGCATCAATACCCATGAATCTTTGTCCCAACTATCAGCCTTGTGTTTATTGCTTCCAACAAACAGGTCAGGATCCAGTGCTAAATTTTTCTGCCATAATGGCTAAAAAGAGTTTTGCAGCAAGTGTAACAAGGACATTTAGATTTTTTGCTGGGGGGTTGCTTTCAAACCCCTCAAGCTGTGCTCAGTGAGAGCTGGCAGAGTTAGTCTGCTCCAGGAAACATAAATGTGCTAAACAGAGTGCATCTGAGCAAGGCACATCAGAAACAAGGCAATTAGCTGATATTTGGGGTGTAGAATGAGGAATAGGACAGATTGTTCACATCCACGTTTTGGTTTAATACAAATGGGGCAAGATTATGCCAAGGCACCAAGAAACAGTGAACTGGTCCAGGCAGGAGACACCAGAAGCTGAGATGTGTTCCTGGGTGGAGATTCCATTGTGCTCTGACAGAAGATGCTCTTCAGGTCAGTCTGAGGAGCTGAACAGCAAGACAAAAGCAAACAGCTGCAGACAAAGCTTGAATTTCATCCTGGGAGATGAGCTGAAGTTGAGGCTGAGCACAAGATCTGTCATGGTGATAAGTGCAATTATCTGGAAAAGGCTTTGAGAAGAGGTTTGGAGTGGGGGAATAAGATGATGTATAGCTCTATTTTAACAACAGGTTTGCTCTGAGCTTACTGCTCAGCTGACAAGCTCTTCAAAACTCCATGGCTGGTTGGGGAGTCTAATCAGTGAGGGATTTGCCCTCCCTAGAACCAATATATATTGTAATATGATTTTTTTTATAGCACAGTTGTTTGACAATTAGTGGCTGAAGTGTGTTTTATGAAATGTGTTTTGAAAGTTACTTAGTGAGAGAAGTTCTGCTAAAAGTCTATTATATTATTAAACCAGATTAAAAATGTCTAAGCTTGTGGGTATTAATATGAACTGTAAACTTTGAGATGTGAAAAATACTGTGTTTCTTCCCTCCGTTTGCTTTTGGCTGAGACTTTTCACATGATGACAGTAAAGCTTGGTACCATGGAATATTGTTGATGGAGCTTAGATATAGAAAAGATGGTTCTTCTTTCAGCACACAGAACTGCACTGAGTCAGCAACAGCAGAGACAAGTCCTATAAACTGCAGGACATGAATAGTACCTAAATCCTAGGTCTTCTGTAGTTCCATTAGAAAAAAAGTAAAATAAGTGTATATAATGGAATAGTGTCTATGCCTTAGAGTCCTGATAGCTCATGGGTTTGATTCCACTGTGTTTTCAAATGGAAATACCTTCAGAAAAGTTAGTGTTCAAAGTTTCCATGCTGCTTATGCTCTGGATTGCTGTAAAACTGCAGGATTTGATATTGCTTGAAAACATGTGGAAGCTAACATTACAGGGTTTGAGTTTTCCCTTCCCTTTGCTTTTGGTGTCAATGGAGTTAACTCATAGTCAGCTGATTAAACAAGGGTTTGGTTTTGGTTCAATAATTCAGTGTGAGACAAATGGTTTCTACTCTGCTGTTGCTTGACCAGAGCTTGAGACCAACAGCTCCAGACACGGGCAGAGGCAGGGATATAATTCCCAGGCAGAACACTGCATTCCCATGGAGGAGGAGCAGGAAAGTTGTGGAGCTCAGCCAGGTCCAAGCATTGCTGCTAAAACTGTCAAACAAGACAACACAAATATTAACAGACAGAACACCTTCACTGCAAATAAACAACACTGCATACCCTGAAAAGCCTCACAAGCTTCTCCTAGCAGGACTCCCTGAGATTTTCATTTAATGGGATGTCTCATATTGCTGCTGAAAACCTGCAAGGAAAATGGTTGCTGAAAATGGTTTATCCTTTTACGGCAGAGGATTCCTGTGCTGCAGCACTGGCAGTTTGTATCGACAGAGGGAAGAGGTTTCATCTCTTCTTCTTCAGTTTTGAGTGAAATGGCAAAAAGTAATCACCTGTCGTTAGTGAACTCCCAACAAGTTCACGTATTTAATCTTTGTTTCCAATTTGGTGCTTTGAAAGACATGTACAAACAAAACACCTGAATTCTGCTGCCAGTGCAATGTGTTTGGCTTTGGTGCTCGTGTGAAGCAGCAGCAGAATTTTGCCTCTGTAGCTTATTCTAACACTGCTCACATTGATGCAAAGCTAATAACGATGGGGGAAACCTTAGTGTAGCAGTGTGAGGCTTTTCTGTTTGAGAAAGAGTTTTAACACTGTCTAAATGACAGACTTACAATTAGTCTTCTGGCTAATGATGACATTAGTTTTCCAACTAATGGTCAGGACTGCTGTGCTAAGTGTAGCTCTGTGTTCCTGTGCTGCAGCTCATTGCTCTTTTCCTCCCTCTTTCTGCCCTCCTGCCCCTGTTTTTCCTTCAGTACTTCCTCTATATGCAAGAGCTCTTTTTGGAGATTTGCACGAACTGCAGTGCACTTCTCCTTGCTGCAGTGCAATATCTCCTTGAGACTTAGAGGAAAATGAGGAAAACTGGTTGTGTTGCAAAACTTTTCTGCTGAACAATCCCGAGTGTTTGAAGACTTGAGCTCTTTCCTTTGCAGTTTCCTTAAAAGCAGAAGTGGCTCTGGGAGAGATAGAGGATAGACTCCCTTTGCAAGTGGGAAAAGCAAAGAGAGAGCCCAGGGCACCCGAGTTCTGTTTGTACAGGAAATGTAAGTGCTGTTTGTTTTGCTCAGGCCACCTCTCAGGAGTGTACAGGAAAACTGATCATTGACTAAAGGATTTCCTTTTGGGTTTCCAGTGACAATTTGGTTGCCATAGCACTGCTGTCCTGGCCTGATGAGCTATAGGGCTGCAGATTGGGGTTCAGGCACTGTTGGTGGGTTTTTCTCTTTGTTGGTTTTGTTGTTTGGGTTTTTTAGTTGCTAGAGATGTTTATGATGTGTATGAAAGTATCCAAAGAGCAGTGCATCATCACAACAACTGTGCTGCAAGAGCTGGGAAAGAGCAAACTTTGTGTTCTTTGCAGTAGTGGGGAATATTTCCTCTCCAGAACCTCCTTACTGTGAGCACAGCTCTCTGCAGCCTGGAAGCTTCTCACCTCCAGGAAAGACAGTGTTTCCCTTTGGAGGCTGTTGCATTTGCACCAGAGGAGTTTTGAACACAAATTACTGTATTATTCACTGATTTGACATTCTTTCTTTCGCAGTTGTACAACAGAGCTGAGAAGCAGATTTAAAGCAGCATGAAAACAGATTTTATTTCAATTAGCAAGTCCTTTTGAAGTTTCATAACAAACTTGGCTTGGATTAATTTGCATGACTGTTAATGGATTAATGAGATAATTAGTGCCTTTTTTGCCTTTTGATACAGGAATCAGGAACTCAAAGACCTGGGAGAACTTGCTCCTCACTGGGACAACATGCGCAAAAGTGTTATTGCTCACTGTGATCAGATGCTGAGCATGTACCAGGACACTCTGGCAGAGCTTGGGAAGCATTCAGGTAGGGATCTGGGATTGTGTGGCAGTAGCCTCTATTCTAGAGCAGTTACAAGTTAGCTGAGGTGTTAGTTACTCAATACTGGTGTATTCAGCAGAAATAAACCACAGAGAAGTCATGGAATCACAGAATGGTTTGGGTTGGAAGAACCTTAGGGACCATCCAGCCCCAACCCCTGCCCTGGGCAGGGACACCTCCCACCAGAGCAGGTTGCTCAAGGCTTAGCCAACCTGGCTGTGAACACTGCCAGGGTTGGGGCAGCCACAGCCTCCCTGGGCAACCTGGGATGGGACAGTGCCACCCTCACAGCAAAGAATTTCTACCTAGTATCTGATTTAAATCTCTCCTCCTCCAGTTTGTGCCCATTCCCCCTTGTCCTGTCACTACATTCTCTTTGTGCTCTTGTGAGAAGTCCCTGTCCATCTCCTCCATTCAGGCTCTGGGAGGTTGAAGTTAGTAACATTTCTTATAAAAAGAACAGAAAAATTCTGAGTCTGCAGAACAAATTATTTCTTCTTTTCAATTTCTTTCTTCTTTTTTTTTTTTGTGGTTGTTCACAACTCATTCAAGGAACTTATCCTTTCCTGTTTTGTGAGACTGCTGGAATGATTTCCTGAATAACACAGTATTTTGAGCAAAGTTTTCTGTCTGTTTGCAGCACGTCCCTCTGCCCCTTCCTGTCGGTGTGTCCTCCTCCCTCCCCTGCCCTGCCCAGCCTGGATGTTCAGCTTTATTCTGAGGGACTCCAAAGGCCTTGGCATTGCTGCTGCTTTCTGCTGGTGTCATAGAATTTAGGGGTTGGAATGGACCTTACAGGTCATCTGGTCCCAACTCCTGCCCTGGGCGGGGAACCTTTACAAAATACATTTTAAAATTCTTCCTGAATCAGGGGGATTTTAGTTCTAATGATTAACAGTTGTTAAAATGAGAAGGTGCTGAAAAATGGTCTAAGTAAATGTTGGACTCCCGGAGTGAGAAAAGACCATCTCTCTTTCCTGATCTACACTCTTTTTTATATATTCTGTATCAAATATCTCCAGGTAAGTGATATTTTCATACATACAACATAATCCTTTTGGTTGGAGAAGGAAATGTTACTTGACAGTAATATCCTGCCATGATAGTTCTTGTACCCTTGTGTGTTCAGCACAGAATAAGCATAATACACATTAACTGGGACAGTGTTTCCAGCAGGCTCATCTCAGACAGCAGGAGAAATACTCATCACCTGAAATAAAGAATTGGATGAGAAGCTCCCCATGAGCTGCAGTGTGAGCTCAGCCCAGAAGCCAACCCAGGCCTGGGCTGCAGCCACAGGATTGTAGGCAGCAGGTCAAGGGAGGTGATTCTGCCCCTCTGTTCTGCTCTGGTGAGACCCACCTGGAATACTGCACACAGTTCTGGTGTCCTCAATGTGAGAAGGACATGGAAATGTTGAGGCAAGTCCAGAGGAGGCCACAAAGTTGCTGAAAGCACTGCAGCATCTCCCCTATGAAGACAGTTGGGGCTGTTGAGGCTGGAGAAGAGAAGGTTGTGTGGAGACCTCAGAGCACCTTCCAGGAGCTGAAGGGGCTCCAGGGAAGCTGCAGAGGAATCTGTGTTAGGAGCTGCAGGGACAGGACAAGGGGCAATGGGCACAAATTGAAAGAGGGAAATTGAGGTGAGATCTTAGGCAGAAGTTTTCCCTGTGAGGGTGGTGAGACCCTGTCCCAGGTTGCCCAGGGAGGCTGTGGCTGCCCCAACCCTGGCAGTGTTCACAGCCAGGTTGGCTGAGCCTTGAGCAACCTGCTCTGGTGGGAGGTGTCCCTGCCCAGGGCAGGGGTTGGGGCTGGATGGTCCCTAAGGTTCTTCCAACCCAAACCTTGCTCTGTGAATTAAAAGCTGGTTTGTTGCTCTCAGTGTAAAGACATGCTGAGACTTGGTTTGTGAACCATCATCTCCTACTAGAGAATTACACATGCAAGTGTTGCCCTACCCGTAAAGAGAAGATGAAACATCTCTGTGCTTAAGATTGATTCTTTCAAATTTTGTTTTCCAGGTTCTTCCTTCAAATCAAGTTGTAGCAAAGCAGAAAAGACACTAGAATTCATCCCAATAAATCTTCATCTGCAAAGAATGCATGTGCGCAGTCCTCGATTGAAAGGTAAACCACATTCTGGGGGACAAATTCCACAAGTGGGACACAGAATGCCTTGGGATACAGTGAAACTCACAGCTGAGAGCTGTGGCCTCCATTTGAGCCCTTTTTAGGGTGGAAATATCTTGATACACCCAGTTCCAACGGAGAACATGAGGTGGCTCTGCCTTCAGGTGCAACCTAAAGCAGAACAGAACTGAACATTGTGCTGTCCAGAGTTGGATCTCAACCACTTGGAGTTCTTCCCTGCATGGTGGAGTACCAGCCACAGTCTTGTCAAACTCTGGGGATGGCACATAGAGATTCTACAGATAAAATGCTTGGAAATTAACAGTATTAAATTGATTCGTTTAAAAATAACTTGATGTGCAGTTTGGACTTGCCTGGGTTTGGGAGGGTGTTGAGGGGGTAGAGCATGACAAGGAGTACAGTGACCTTCAAGGAAAGGTGGGATCCATTTCATGCCTCTTGCCAGTCACTGAAGTTTGGGACATTAGCTTGTTTTCAAGATTTTTGGAGTATGGCTTGATACAGAAGGTTTGTTGTATTCTGAGGTTTGTTGCTTGGGTTTTGGTTTGGTTAGTGCCTGTTTGGTTTTTCAAATAAGATCAAACTCAAACTTCCAAATTCCTTATTTAAAAATCTGCACTTCTCTACAGGCTCCCAGAGTTGAATTTATCACTTCTTTTGATGGGCTCTATAAACTTTCTGGGTGGTTATTTCCTGGTTGGTTTTGTGTGTATGTATCTAGAGCCTTCCTGTCTTTCTGGAGGGTTTCATTTCATTGTCTGAGTTCTCTCTCTTATGCCTGTGCATCTATTTCTGATACCAAAGCTTTGAGGTTTGGCTACTGTTTGGAAAATTTCTGGAGCAGCTGAGGATGTGCTCTCCCTGCTGGGCCACACTTAGGTAAATCCTGAGGTCAAGGAAGTGTCCAGCTTGTCTGTCCTCATTTCTCTACACATTCTGAGTCCTGCCTCATCTCCTGAAGCCACAAGTTTGGGTATTGACTTAGATCTGGGAAGATTAAGGAGTGATTAACTGAATTTCTTATAAGTTCTTTCCCAAAAATAAATTCCTTGGGTGTTGTGCTCATTCTGTTCCTATGGCACTTGAAGCAAATAAGTGAACGCAGAATATGTGTTTACTGAGCTGTATTGGTAACCTATGAGTGGTTAAAAATACTCTGTTATAGCAGTGCAGAACTAATACTGTCATGATTCATACTGACACACTGCACAATGTGCTGTGAGATTCACGTCCTTCTTGGGCATCAGCTTAATTTTTCATCGTGATCCATCATGTCAGTGGACTGGAAAAGCCAAACTCAGCTCTCATGTTTTAAGGTGGCTTTCTTAATTTCTGTTTTCCCCCTCAGTTTTCCACCTGAGATAGTGCTGGAGCACAACACAATACTTTTCCCTCAGAAATGCTGGGATGAACTCAGCAGCTCGGGTGGTGTGACTTGCCTGGCTCCACTGATGACAGTTTTACTTCTAGACTTAAATATCCTGTTTCTGAGGAAGCCTTAATGAATCATAGAATTATAGAATTTAAGGGCTGGAATGGAGCTTAGAGGTGATCCAGTCCCAACTCCTGTCCTGGGCAGGGACACCTCCCACCAGAGCAGGTTGCTCAAGGTTCATCCAACCTGGCTGTGAACACTGCCAGGGCTGGGGCAGTGGGCAGCCTGGGCCAGGGTCTCACCACCCTCACAGGGAAAAACGTATTTTTCACATCCAACCTAGACTTTCCCTCCTTCAGTTTGAACCTGTTACCCCTTGTCCTGTCCCTGCAGCTCCTAACACACAGTCCCTCTCTGGCTCCTTTTAGCCCCTTCAGATATTGTAACATTGCTCTGAGGTCTCCACACAACCTTTTCTTCTCCAGGCTGAGCAGCCCCAACTCCCTCAGCCTGTCCTCACAGGGGAGATGCTCCAGTGCTCTTAGCAACTTGGTGGCCTCCTCTGGACTTGCTCCAACAGTTCCATGTCCTCCTTACATTGAGGGCACCAGAACTGTGTGCAGTATTCCGGGTGTGTCTCACCAGAGCAGAGCAGAGGGGCAGAATCACCTCCCTTGACCTGCTGCCCACACTGCTGTGGATGCAGCCCAGGATCAATGTGCCCAGTGCTGCTTGTGCCCAGATCAGCTTGGGCAGTGCCACGTAAACATCTGCTCAGTGTTCAGTGAAAATACCTCAGTGATTATGCTGAAAGTCCTTCAAACCTCTAATACCTCCTGGAAAGGAGGATAATTTTCTGTAACCTCCTCTGTGGTCCTTTTAATACAGATTCTGTTGCTGCTGCTTGCACATAAGTTTAGCAGCATCCTTTACAGATACAAGATTGTATTGAGGCATACATATGAGCAAATCATAGCTCAGTGAATAGTTTTGGGGTAAACTGAGGTCTGTTCAATTTGTTGTCAGTGTACAAGCATAGAAATTACACTCTGGTTTTTGCCTTATTAACACATTCTACATCTAAGCAGATTGTAAAGCAGTAAGTAGAGTGATTATAGGGGTATTTTATAGTGGGTGGCTGTTCATCCACTTCCAAGTTGAAATACAGGGACTTCCAGTTATGGTAGATGTTGTATTTCCTTTACTAGACAGCAGTGCCTCCAAACAGGGTAACAGGATGGAGATTTATAGTGACACGTCGTGACAGCACAGATTTTAATTTAGTCAGTGTTTTGAAGTTAATTAGCTCCAAAGCATTTTTAGGTTTGTAATGCTGACCAGAAGCTTAATGTGTTATGTCTTTTCAAGAGAACCTCTCTGGGAACAGGACACTGTACGTTTATTTGCTAGATAACAAAAGTGGAATGAAATGTGCTTCTTACTGAACCACCCACATCTTTCACAGTGCTTGAATTTGGGCTCTTTGAAATGAATCTTCTCCTTTCTCCTCCCAAATCACTTTGCTTGGGGCACAGGGTTAATCCATCATCAAAAGGGGGACAGAGATAAATGTTAGAGTTGTCTTCTAAACTTGGAACTTTGTTTAAATTATGAAACTCTCCCTTTGTTATTTAATTGATGTTCATTGTGTCTTGTATTAGACAGACACAGTTTGAAGAGTTTCTAGCCAGTGCTGGTCAATCTGGACTAGGCAGCACTTTGACATTGAGTTGGCCTTCCTCATCTCAGGCTTTGATTGACATATGTCAAAGGGTGCCTGGAATATAACCAGGAGCCTGATGGGAGGGAGGAGAATGAGATTGGAAAGCATGAAAAAGCTCACAGAGCAACGATTAAACTGATGGGCATAAAACTAACCTTTACACTGTCAGATGGCTTAATTTAGGCTTTAATCCCATCTCTCCTGTGTATGCACATTGGTATGTGGTTTTATTTTTTGTTCAATATGTTCAGTAACAGGTTTACTTATAGCGAGCTTTGATTTGGGTTGTTCTTGGGTACTGACACTGAATAGAAAGTACCTGTGTGTTTAAACCTCCAGTAGGAACAGCTCTAAGTACTATTTCCTTATGGGATAACTGTATCCCTATCCATGTGGTAACCACCATATTTTGCTCTGCTCATCATGCTAGAGGAGTTCAATTTATACCTTGACTTAGCTTTGCTTTCACCCCTGTTTGTACATTGTGTTGTTTGGTCCAAATTTGGTGCACCGAGGGGATTTCTCTTTTGCATCAGGCCAGGGTGAGAGCCTGGCTGCCTCCTCTGCAGGCAGACAGCATGCTGCCCTGGGGCCTGAGCTGCTCCTGGCAGCAGGGTGCAGCTCCTGTGGCTCTGGGGCACCTGGAGCTCAGCCTGCTCTGCAGAGGTGGCAGCAGTGTGTGCAGGGAGTGACACTTCGGAGCTACTGGGGCAGTTCTGTACCTGTGCACTGATGCTGACACTGCATGTCCTTCCTGAGGAGCATTCTGAAGTATAAGTGGAGCACATCACAAGGCTTTCCTCCCGAGTCTGGCAGCACTTTGCAGTGCTCTGGAGAGTGGCAGTGACACTGCCCTGTGCCCATCACCAGTCACAGGCATTTTCCTGTGCTTGGCCATCCTTGCTGCCCCACGTTCCCCTGCATGACATAGGTGCTCAGCTCTGCTGGGTGTGTTTCCCTCTCAGCAGCTGCTTCTTGACCATGCTGAGAAGAGGCCACAGGCTCAATGAAAGCTTCTTGCTGGATAAATCCCCCCACCAAAGTGGGTCATGGTTTATTTTCATAACAGAGACCGAATCAAGATTTAGTCTTCTAAACATTTACCTGTATTTTCAAGGGGTATCTGTAAACACATTCAGAACTCATTGTTCAGCTCTCCTGAGGAGTTCAGGTCTTAATTTGGTTCCAGCCACTGTTGTTTTAAGCAATAGAACTACTTATTGTTGAGTACCAAAGGAGCTCTAATAGCCCAAGATTATGTATTATAGATAAATCTCTATTAAGACCTGAAAGAATGGGCTGTTTAAGAATCTTCAAGTTCACCTTAGGCTAATGAAATTATGTCACTTCTCCTTTTAAGTGGAAATTGAAGAGTCACCAATTCATTAGAGTTCAAATCAATTTGAGCAAATATGCTCTGAGATTCAGCTCTGGAAGTAAAGCATAGTTCATTAACTGTGAATCATTTGTACAGTGTTCTTGCTTCTAGGGATATTTATCATCAGAATGCAAGAAAAGTTCTATTTTAGGAGAGGATTAGGTTTGAATTTACATGGCAAGCTTCCTTGCTGAATAAAACAGTTCACAAAAAACATCCTCTAATGGTTCCTTTAGAAATATGTTTTAAGAACGAGACATTCTGACCTGTATTTTTGTGACTCCAGGAAGTTTGGGTACAAAGCAGGTACTGCTCAGTGCAGATGTAAATTTGGACTTTGAAGGAATAATTATTGTGGGTTGGGATGTAATTAAATCTCAGCACTGACAATCACAGGCTGTTTTTAAAAAGATACTTCAGCTCCAGTTCTGTGAGCAAAAAAACGTTCATCCCAGGTATAAGGCATCAGGTATATACAGAGAGCAGCAACAGTTTGTTGT